CTGTGAGTGTCAGGGGTGCAGTGTGTGTGCTGTGAGGGTCAGACGTGCAGTGTGTGTGTGAGGGTGCTGTGAGTGTCAGGGGTGCAGTGTGTGTATGTGTGAGTGTCAGGGGTGCAGTGTGTGTGAGTGAGGGTGCTGTGAGTGTGAGGGGTGCAGTGTGTGTGCTGTGAGTGTCAGGGGTGCAGTGTGTGTGTGAGGGTGCTGTGAGTGTCAGGGGTGCTGTGTGTGTGCTGTGTGTGTCAGGGGTGAAGTGTGTGTGTGTGAGGGTGCTGTGAGGGTCAGGGGTGCAGTGCGTGTCAGGGGTGCAGTGTGTGTGTGAGGGTGCTGTGAGTGTCAGGGGTGCAGTGCGTGTCAGGGGTGCAGTGTGTGTGTGGGGGTGCTGTGAGTGTCAGGCGTGCAGTGTGGGTGCTGTGAGGGTCAGACGTGCAGTGTGTGTGTGAGGGTGCTGTGCGTGTCAGGGGTGCAGTGTGTGAGGGTGCTGTGAGTGTCAGGGGTGCAGTGTGTGTGAGTGTCAGGGGTGCAGTGTGTGTGTGTGAGGGTGCTGTGAGTGTGAGTGTGTCAGGGGTGTGTGTGTGGAGTGCTTCAGGGGTGCAGTGTGTGGAGTGTCAGTGTGTGTGTGAGTGTCAGGGGTGCAGTGTGTGTGTGTGTGTGTCAGGGGTGCAGTGTGTGTGTGTGTGTGAGTGTGAGTGTCAGGGGTGCAGTGTGTGTGTGTGAGTGTCAGGGGTGCAGTGTGTGTGTGTGTGAGTGAGGGTGCTGGGAGTGTTATGTGCCCTGCTGATATCCCCCCTCCCTGCTTACCTTATGCCTGGGAGGGGGGATCCTGCTACTCCTGCTGCCATCCCTGGTGGTCCAAGTGGTGAGTGAACTCTAGCCTGTTGGGCTAGAGTTCACTCTCGCGAGATCCGGCCGTTGCCATGGCAACGCTCCGAATCTCGCGAGAGGAACCCGGCGGAACTGTAAGTTAAAGCTCCGCCGGGTTCCTCTGCTGGCAGGCTGGCTCCCTCACTCTCTCCCCCGGCGGCCGCAGTATTCTCTATGTGGGCCGGTGAGGGAGATCTCTGATCTCCCCACCGGCCCGCTGTAGACTACTGCAGGGCCGGCGTTCAGATAGCGCCGGCCCTGCAAAGACCGGCAGGGGAGATCCTGTGATCTCCCTGCCGGCCTCGGCCCCACGGCCACCGCGGCCCACCGGGCATTTGCCCGGTGTGCCCGATGGCCAGTCCGGGCCTGCCCTGAACTATACTTCTACTTACTTCTTAGTAAAATGCAGTTAGGTTAGTTTGACATGGACTTGTGAAATTAGGTTAGTTTGACATGATCTTTTGTTTTCAGTTTTGTTTTCTACACCTTACAAATAAACATTTGTTAAAGGGACACTACAGGCATCAAATAAATGTTGCCTTAAAGCAGTTTTTGTGTATAGATCATGCCCCTGCAGACTAACTGCTCAATTCACTGCCATTTAGGAGTTAAATCACTTTGGTTTCTGCTTATGTAGCTCTAGCCACACCTCCCCTGACTGTGACTGGCACAGGCTGCATGAAAAAAAAATAGTTTTATTTTCAACCAGATGTTAACTTGCTTTGGAAGTTTTTATCTCCTGCTATGTAACGTGAACTTTAATCATATGCAGTAGGCTCCTGCAGGGTCTAGAAGGCTATTAACATGACAGGAGAAATTTTAAATTAATCAGAATGTGCAGTAAAGAAAGTTTAAGCATTAGATGTCACTTTACAGGAAGTTTAGGTAGGATGTGCAAGTCAAATGCAGGTGTGACTAGGGCTGTATAAACAAAATGATTAAACTTCTAAATGACAGATAATTGAACTGCGAGGTTGAAGGGGCATGATATATACACCAAAACTACTTAATTGAGCTAAAGTTGTCTTGGTGCCTATAGTGTCCCTATAAATAAAGAGATAAGTTAAAATATTATTAAAAAGATAAAACAGGAAGTGATAGTTACCCTTTAACATTTGTTTTCTAGGGTATAAATGTGTGTTGTATGTATTTTTTATAATTTGGGCATGGCCCTCAGCACCTACTGTCCCTGTATAGCCAGCTTGTCTTATTGCAACTACTTGTTTATTAACCCACCTATTATACAGCACTTTATAAATAATAATAAAGAAACCCCTTCCCCAAATGAGTGAAATTGAGATGGATTTGCTTGTTTAGTACTTAACATAATGGTCAAACTACATACAGCTTTAGGCTCTCTGTATAGAATTAGCTGTAATGTGTACCTGTTTCTCTCAGTCTGTCCCTATTAAAGTAACTATTGGAAAAGTATTGGTGTGCTTCTTAAATTGCATATGGAATTGTGTGTAGTGTGAATGAAGTGAGCATTTCATTTTACTCCTGGTATGTTTATCCTCTTAGAATGGTATTTCTCTTCTCTGAGAACGTAGCTTTCACACTTAATGCACGAGAATCATAACTTTTTTCTTTTCTTTTTAATACCTTATAGAAAGTAATTGTGGATCTCTCGGAATTTATCCAGCAGCCAAAGCAAAAAGAAAAGAAAGTAGGTTCACCGACCTCTCGAACGGAGTCTAC